CTGCACGGGGCGGTCCTGCCGGCAGTGACCTGATGCTGGCCTGGGTCCCCCGTGCCAAAGGCTCAGGGGGAGTTCACAGGGTCCGGGGGGCGGCGCATATTTATTTGATTTCATGCACTCTTTTGCCATTGAGTTTTTGCGTTGGAAGGAAGAAAAGGTCGAGCTTGGGGAGAGGAGGAGAGGCTGTGGGCAATGCTGAGGGCTGCACCCCGTTGCATGGCCTGTCTGGGCTTGGCCATGGCATTGGGTGTTGGACGATGGGGTGGAAGCTGGGGGGCTGTGGTGTGGGTCATCCTCAAGAAGGGTGTGTTTGCATGTGAGGAGGGGAGGGGTGCGGTGACCAGGCCTCTGGAGGCAGCGTGGGGTCCACCCTGCCCCAAACCTGGGTGACCCACGCTGCTTCCCCTACGTGGAGGGCTCAGGGAGGTGCCACAGGGCTCACAGCCAGGGCTGTGGGGTTCCTGGGGGGTTGCTGCTGGTGGTTTCAGGAGTGACTCCACCCAGCGTGCCTGTCCCGGAGGGCTCGCTGCCCGTCCCCAGGATGCCACAAGAGCTGGTCCGGGGAGATGGCAGCAAGAGGGGTCAGCCCTGGGGCACCCATCTGCCAAGGGCCCGTGCTCCATGGGCATGAGGACCACGGTTCACATGTGGTTGTGCTGCGTGTTGAAAGCCCAAGCTGGCCCCACTGCCGGGTCCCAGGAGCAGGCTGGGGTCCCACTCCCACGCTGCACAGCGGGGACGAGGGCTCCCTGCTGTGGGGCAGCTCAGCCCTCGGTGCAGTGGGGTTTTGGGAGTGGGGCAGCCGGGCAGGCTGATGGGCAGCTGGAGTGGCTGGTCCGGAGGAGATGGAGGGGCTGGGAGGAGAGGCTGTGGGAGCTGCTGCTCTGTCCCTCTGGGCTCTCTGCACAGCCCGTCTGCCTCCTGGGCACCACAGGCTTTCTCGAAACCCCCTGCCCCTGGGCTGCAGCAAGGCTTAGTCCACTGAACCAGCACGTTCTCCCGTCCCAGCTCTTCCCTTCTCGCTCCAGCACCACCCCCTCTACCACAGCGCGGGCGCTGGGTCCCACCGAGCCGCAGGGGAAGCGCGGCTGCCCCGGGCCA